TGCAAAGACCCCTTCGGTGATGGCCTTCATCTTTGCCATTTGTGTCTTCGAATCATCTATTTCTTTGCCTAACGTCTCCCAGCTGGCCTCAGACGGTTTCTTCGTCGTTTTCTTCTTTTCCTTCTGGGTCAGCTGTTCTGAGCTTCCCGTAGCTGTTGCCCGCTCACCCTTGGCGTTTCCCTGCACCGCAATCTGGGAGAACTGCTCTTGGCGATCGTTTGCGTCTTATGTCCTTGACCTAAGGGAGCCTAACAGTAATCGAGCGCACTCTTGAGTAAACATTACACAGCGTGTGCACGTCCACTTCAGGCTTTCATGCTTCGTGTGCAGCTGGTAATCTTGCTTTGTTAAGTTCTAACACAGCTGATGATACCAATCCTGGCACCTATCACACTGGATACCAGAAATCACAACTTTCTGACAAGCCCTATTCCCGCATGTGTTACGGTTGTACTGGCCAGCCATTATACAATTGATTCCTTCTCGAATAGCAAAGAGTATGCGATACAAAATTCCAAGATTATCGGTAAAAAACTACACGACAGATAGAATCACACCAATGGAACATACGAAAAAGGTAAAAGCACTATGATAAAAACACCTGTCGGAGAGTTAAGTTCTCCGAATAAAAGTGGACCTTAGTAAATAGTAAGATCCAGTAAGTTTGTGAAATAACTAAGTTTGTTTCACGACTCAACGCAAATAAAATCGTAGAAAGCAGAGCAGTTCAAAAGTTCAAACCGCGCGGTAACTTACAACTTCAGTCAGTTGGTCTTCCGTTATTCTACCGACTCTCTCTCTCGCGTAGGTCCACAGCACTCTGGAATTCCCTTCCAGCGATTGTGGTGGAAGAGAAGACAGACTCTGCTTTCAAACGGCGTCTGGATGAGCACCTGAAGGGGATATGGAGGAACGAACACTTGTGATCGGACCTTCAACCCAGTGGCGATGGGGCTTACACGAGCACCCTGCCCTCTGCCCTCAATTCTGAAGACAGAAAACTGTGCTCGAGAATTTTATTTCAATATTACAGTTCTTTTATGCTAATAGCTGAAGTAGTGTCCGCGCTTACGGTATGTTTTCGCCCGAATTCACCACGGAAGTGGTGTTCGACAGGATTGCCCTCTTTCTCCTTTTCTATTTAACCTTGTTATGATTATGGAAACAGCCCTATCCTCGTGCGAAGATAGCGGTATAGATTTACTCAGGCTGTTTGATCTAGATTACGCAGACGAAATTGTGCTACTAAGTGAAGATGCTGTTGAGTTGCAAGCCTTTTTGGACAGCCTGAATGTCAGTGTAGCCATGTTCGGTATGCGTTTTGCACCTTCAAAGTGTAAAATTTGCTACAAGACTGGGTCGGTCCAGCACCGAGCCTCACTCTAACTGGAGAAGTAATATAGCAAGTGGATAACCTTTTTATTTAGGCAGCTACATCTCACCCGGTAGACCCATCATGGATGAAGTGTCAGCTAGCATACAGAAGGCTCGATTGATATTTTCCAACTTGAGACATCTGTGGCGCCGTCGCGACATCCGGTTGTCTGTGAAGGGTCGACTGTATGCTGCGGCAGTTCGGCCAGTTCTGCTATACAGTGCCGAAACTTGGCCATTAAGGAAACAGGACAAAGATGGACTGTCGGTGTTCGAACATCGTGCTCTACGCAGCATTGAACGAATATGGTTTGGCAGCCGGACGAACAATGCTGAGGTTAGGCACAGCGTTTTAAGTAAACGCGGTCGCCCACTGGAGCAAGTGGTCGACCTCCATAGATTACGTTGGTTGAAGCATGTGTTACGCATGTCACCAGGTACGTTGTCACGGCGAGCGATGTTCGACGAGGTAAGTAGTGGTTGGATAAAAGCCAAGAGGGATTAAGCTAAAGACCTGGTATAAGGGTATGAAAGCCCCAACCTGGAGTTTTGTTCACGTAGGTCCCCTTAGGCTCCCTGGATGGGGACCTCGGGATGATCATACCCGATGGTTAAAGACACTGAATAATATAGCTGAGTGCCGTAAACAATGGCGTTCGTGCATCTTGTCAGTTTCTCTGCAGCATTAGTCCACTCAAATCCCAAGTTTTCTCTTTGATCCTACTTTCAACCTTTTCTGTCTTTCTCTTTATGTTCATCGAAACTGGCAGCCAAAAACAGCAATCAAAACCGGCGCGCAATAGTGTATGGTTATTGGTTGTGTAAACTGAACTGATTTGCCGGATGGTAACGTGCGTCCAGCATTTATCAAGTGTCATACGTATCACCCTGAGCGGCAACCGGTGGCTTTGCGTTGAAATACTCAATTGGATGTATTTGTTCTGATTTTTAATATGCGGAAAACAAGAGCGTACAAGGATATCATGTTCGATAAAACGAGAAAGTTTATGGTCTATGTGCAACCACCAAACACCCTGTAGAGTTAGGCTTTTCTGTGACCCATTTGAACAAAGGTCGTATCTTGCTGTTTCTGAGATGTCTTTTACCGGACCGGTTTTTGCTGACATTGCAATGTTTGCAGCTTTATCGTGGCTATTCATTACTGACCGATCCCCAGTTGTTAGGGTGCATCGAACAGCTGATCGGGTGGTTGCTTCAGATTGGACGTAGTTATGATAGGCCTTTACGTATTCCTTGTTTCTACCTGCTAGTCTCTGATTGAAATGTAATCGGCAAGTGATCTGCGCTCATGTGGTATTTTCACAAGTCCCTTAACGCTACAATCGGTATCCATGTCTTCCTCCTCTTTTGAACCGATTCCGTGCTTGTCTTTTAAATCTCTGTGTTTTGGCAACCGTGCCCGCCCACCAAGCCGAGTTCATTTTTTCCCGACAGTTTCGGGGAGAGAAAACTCCTCAGTGAGCCATAGTAATCTTTGTTGGGTGATTTGTCTGTTGTGGTTAGCACTCTGACTAGTAATTCGTATACGTATCGGATTTCGCCCAGTAATAGTCCAAGCCAGAACTAGGACTCGAAATGAAATCAGAAGACAAGACTCAGCGACGGAATGGAACTGTAATGAGCGGAAATTCGGAATGTATAAGCTTGTACACGATATCCTAGGATATCGTGTTCAATAAAACAAAAGAGTTCATAGTTCATGAGTAATCACCACAGTTGTCACACTTCCTTGACACTTCGGAAAAGTAGGCCCCAAGCTAGATATTCAGCTTGTTCGACCAGACAGTGTCCATCAGTACTGTTGGAACCCTATTCCCTTTGGTATAGGAACATTCGACACTGCTGTAATATTGACCAGCAACACCCCATAGTGGGTAGGTAAGTAGAAAGGAATCCACGACCCGAGCCAACAATTTGATTATGAAAAAAGGATGTTATCGGTGTTTTATTAAACAGGCAATGAAAATTCTACTCCTCGATTCTCAATCACTGCAGATAACAGTCTGTAGACCTCTCGGGTACATCGTTATCTATCCTCGAAACTACCACCACCATCACTGCTAGAAGTGAGTTTCGTCTCTACTCGTCAAGTTTTCATAGATCAACGAATACATCGTTTATCCTGCACACACAAATCGATGACCAACAAGACGTTACAATTTCACGAACCATGGGTTATTAGTATTTATTCCAGGTTTTCCCACCTAGAGGTGCAGACAAATTCAAGACAGAACAGGAAATCTCATGGTTTGGCACACTGACACGGTGCCAGGTACGGATGCAAAAATTCGACAAGAGTCAAACGAAACTAACGCGGCAAATTCAAATAAACGCAACAGGTGCCTTAAGCGACAGAATGTGCCAGCCCTGTGAGCTGAGCTACCCAACCAAGTAAACACGGAGTTTTAATAGAATTGGGGAAGAACATTCCCGATTTAGAGAACAGAAAACAAATCAAACAAATATGTGTGACATCATTTGAAGTGCATGGAGGTGTGGTTTATTGTGGCACGCGGGGAGTGTGGGTGTNCCTGTGGGCGATCGATAACCAAACTTCAGGCAAAAATGACCACAACTGGACAATGCTTACCCAACGGCTATCAGCCAGTGCTGAGAGAGAGCCTACAACCAGTCTGCAAAAACTAAACAGCGACAGGAATGCAGATGCACAATATGGTCACAACCAGTCGGACTGAATGCAAAAAATTCAAACAAAGTGGCTGGTCCAAAAGAACGAAACACTTGATCAACACGTTTGCGATGAACTCCATCTTTCTAATGAAACTCTATTGAAAGTGAATTGTGACGAAAGCAACACCAGATGATTTCTAAGCGTGGGGGGGGGGGAGTCCGCCAATACAAAAGTGATATNCTGCGCATCAGATACGCAAAATAAAATACATGGGATGAAACGTTTCCGGGAAACACAATTCGTGTTTCCTTTTTATGTACAGTTACTGATATGCTTGTCGGTTCTTGGTACAAAATATTGGGGGAAAATAACGCGAGTTTTCTATTGGGTAAAACAGAATTTGATGCGATTGTGAACTGAATGTCTGTTGCAATCTGTGTGGAAACAGGTAGGCGAGCAACGAGGTGAGTCCGTCTACAGCATGTCCTGACAATGCTCGAACGGGATCCCATTTCGACGATAGAAAGATTCTTCAACAATCTTGACTCGTCCGCGTCGTTTCTGCCCGGATACAGATTGCTTGATGATATCGGTCTGACCCCAACCGTAGTCCATCGAACTGAGAACCGGATAGTGATATTTATCTTCCAAATTCAGCTTTTTTCGGGTTTCCAGATATTTTTTTCTGTACATTAAAAAAACAGACAGAATAAGCATTGAAAAAAAGTGAAACACGTGACAGAGGAAAGTCAACGGTTTATTCCAATTTATCTTACGTTTTCACCTCTCAAACGGATTTCTATTG